TGATCATCATGTTGTGCCCGGATCAATCATTTGTCAGTGCGTCGAACGATCGATCGAAATGGTAATTGGTATATTATCTATCTTGACCTGTGGTGCTGTATATTGTCCATTATCACCGAATGATCCTGAACAGCGTCTTCAATCACTGATTCAGGAGACTCACTCTCGTTTAGTAATCATTCATACATTAACAGGAGACAAGTTTGTTACCTCTAATGTAGCGCAGTTCCTCCATGTTGACTTTATAATAGGCTCAATGAGCCAGACGACATTAGACGAGAATGATTTGGATGTATTGTCAAATGTGCAAGTGACTGTGGAAGATGTTTCTTATGTGATATTTACATCGGGATCAACTGGACGTCCGAAAGCGGTAAGTGCTGAACTACAGGATGTTCCGACTTGATTTTGGAACCTTCTGATAGCAGCAATACTGAGAAGCCATTTTAATTAAAAAGCCAATTGTGTTGCTAGAATTCGGAAGCAAAAGAAAATGTAGACAGATTATTTTCACCAATAGCTCGATTGACAGTGAAGAAACCCTGGAAAAAGGAGAATATTTGACTTTTTTATGCAAACCGGAGATGCAATTGTTTACAGTATGTATGTTTTTCTTACGTTTGTGCAGCGTATCGATGGGTAAGACACCAGCTAGATGATGCAAGATCTGGAAAAACTCCCTCGTACTTAAAGTTGCTTTAAGTTATGGGGTTACATTTCGAATAAAAATGTATGATCTCAATAACATTGAGAAACGATAATGCTTGGGCTTTGCTATTTTGTCTCAGTTACCAATAGAAAGAACATTCTCTTCTAGCGGGCTGGTTTGAATGCTTGAGCAGTTGTGGATATGTAACAATCTTGACTTCTGATCCAGCTGTACCACCAGATCTAAGGCAGAGACTCAGAATGAGTAAATAATTGTTTTATACCTTTTGTTGCAGGTTTCAGTTCTTAATCGAAATATTGTTTCACACATTTCTTCGGCAACTATGTTGAATATTATCAATGGCGATGTTATCGTGATTCAAATTGGACCCTGTTCATTTGATGTGCATATACAGGAAATATTAGCCTCGATCGTCGCTGGTTCTACTATAGCTATGTTACATCCTGGTGGCAATTTTGATATAAAATTGATCTGGAAAGTTATCAACTCACAGCGGGTGACTTGTATGTTTCTTGTGCCAACTATGATGCTGTCATTATGCGAATTTCTGAAAGATCACTTCAGCAACTTACATACATTACGAACCGTCCTGTGTGGAGGTAATTTAGCATCTTCGATACTGCTCCATTCTTATCTTCAGATAAAGACTCGGTGGTTGTAAACTGAATATACACGAGTACGAATAAAACACTTAACAAAAGTATAGTTTCCAAATTTCTGGAATCTATTCTTCTTCCAGAAACGGATCCGTTTTTAGTAGTCGCTAGTAGCATGTTAAATTAGTTCCATCTACTGCTCTCTAATACGTACGTAAAGCTTTTTATATCACTTATGCCACGTTACAAACTGATGGACGCCATCTACGATTCTTTCAGGATTGATCAGAATATAGACAAGGAATAGTCATCCTGCTCTGATAGACATGACACCACCTGCATTAACAACAAAAAAGAGTCATCGATGGGTATTGAGAGTAGTTATTGAAGTTAGGTTCATTTCCAATAAAAAGATCTTCAAAAGATTTTGAGCTTCAAGATTCTCGCAGAATTTTCAGCCGAACAGTATCCAAGACCTCCCTGACATGTGTTGACTACAGAGATCTCCTTCAACACACAAAGAGAGTTAGAGTACCACAAAAGACCCCAGTAGCATACGATTTCTTCGAGAAACGACTACAACTCGAACACTTCCACTTGATATTACCCAGCAGATTTCAATTATTTTAAAGGCGAAACATTAACCACGGAAATGGTCGCAAAACTCATGGCTTATCTTTCTTCGGACTGCAAAGTTTATCACGGATATGGTCCATCCGAATGTACACTGGCAGCCGCGTATCATCTTATCGTCTTCCAAGATTTGCATTCATCATCAATTCCGATAGGACGACCTATGCCAAATTATCAATGTTACGTTCTCGATGAATATTTACAATTAGTTGGCATTAATCAGCTAGGTGAGCTGTATATCGGCGGTGCTGGTGTATTCTCCGGTTA